TTCACAAACTTTAAAATAATATTAAATGATAATATGCTAACACAAAATTGTTCTATCTTACCGAATCAAGTTTCATTGAATAAAATGTCACAAACTATTTTTTTCAAAATTTCAAACCAAACATGTTTCTTAGTTTTCTGTTTCAAGAAATAATTTTTTAGAGTGACAAATCAAACACGTTTTTTGAAATCTTAAAATAGACTCCCAAAACAAAAAAATGAAAGTGAACTCAAAATTGATGATTGAAACACGAATCAAACAGGCTTGAAACTTTTCGCAACAATCAATGAATGTTGCAAATACTATATATTAAGAGTTTCAGCAACAATTACTGAACATTGTTATAGAACAAACTTTAACAACAGTAAATAAATTTTGCAAAAATAAAACTTTTGTAATAGTTAATGAACGTTGCAAAAGATGACATTAGCAACATTCATTCAAAAATTTTGGCAAAATCTCAATTATATTAACCAGTGACAACATTTACTTATTAAAATTTTGTGATAGACTTCTTTTAGCAACACTCAAATAATGCGTGTTGCTTTTTAAGTGTTGCAAAAGGTCATTTTTATTGTAGTGAATAGGTGAGCGACCAAATATTCTTGAATAATTAATAACATAAATAGACAATGAATTTAACATCCAAGTAACATCAAGTACCAAATAGTATGAAAAAATGAAATTAAAATCATGTCAATGGCTCAACCATATTGATCCAAACAATCATGTCTTTATAATCATAAAATAGACATTTAGATATCTAAAAAAAGAGAGAGAGACTATGGTGGACTTAAAATTTTTAAATTGATAATTATGTACCATAGCTAACTTCATATACTTCAAAGACTACTTGGGAAAATATAAAAAACAATTTAAACAAGTTCAAATATGTATTTATCCTTTTTTTTAACATGAATTTACTACAAAAATCATCCAATTATATACTGCCACATATTCAAATTCAGAATGTGAGAATTAGTTATAAAATTCGTAAAAAAATTAATGTGTAATATTTTCTGCTTGAGAATCAATGAAGTGCCATAAGAAAAGGTTAGCAAGCAAGACCGTGTGAAGTAATCAAAAGACTTTTTCAAGAGCAAATATACCCTAATCATTCAGAGGTAGGGTTAACAAGCAAGATCATATGAAGTAATCAAAAGACTTTTTCAAGAGCAAAAATACCCTATTTTTCTCAAAACTTATTTTCATTCAAATATTCTCCCATAAAATAATTTTACATGTAAATTTAAAACTTTTTCATACATTATAACCACACATTATCTAAAAATCACAATTGCAAATCAATATTTCTTAAACAATGAGACTCAAATAAGGACAAAATGTTGATGCTATATACAAGTTATTTGATAAGAACTTTTGCTAGCAAATCTTGACCAAAAATTGTCATGGATCAAATAATAATCAATAATTTGCTATTCAAAAAAGGATCCAAAAGATACCCACTCCAATACTTGTGATTATAAACATGGATAATCATACAGTATACATATTAATTCATGAAAAATCAAAGCAATATATGTACCAATCATTCAAGGTATTCGCAATATATACACACACGCACACACATACTTTTCTTTTAGAATAAACATTTTCGTACCATAAAATTCAAATGTAAATCACACCTCTTTATTAGATTAAATTATATGGTATTTATTGAGATTTGAACTACTTCAAAATCACAACATAATATTTATCGAGAATTAAAACTTACAAAATTATGTTATTCAAGAGAAAAAACATAATATTTTTCAAAGATATTAAATTGTATAAAGTCGTTCTTTAGGATGAAAATATTCTTCTATAATAATGATTTGTTTTAAAATGTCTTCTTCAAAAATAATAAAATAAATTTTTTTTACTAGATATTGCATTATCTTAATTTGAGCTTTTTCAGGAGTGAAAATTAAATTATTTTTAAATAAAGATAATTGAAAATAATCCAATATTCTTCTAGAATATTTATTTTTAATTTATACTCTTTCAAGATTAATGATAGAATAGTTTTTAAGAATATTAATATATAATTATACTTAATATAACACTGAAATGAATATTAATCAATTAAGTTGTGCTATTCAGAAGTAATGACACACATATACTTCAGTTATATTAATTAATTAAAGTAGTGATTCTTAAAAAAATAAAATAAAAGAATAATATTATTCAAGAATATTGATATTTAATAATTTATATTTTTCTTAGAGAAATAGAAAATAATTAAAATTAACAGAATTAAATAAAAACACTATAGATTCAATATACGTCCAATCTCATAAAATATAATTATTAAAATATTTGTAAAAGTAAACTTGAGTTTTTAGGTCAGAAAAGTTCACAAATTTTGTAGGGATTTCATATTTGACATATTTAAAAAACTTCGATTATGCAGTTCAAAAATTTTGAATGAAAAAATATGGTGATATTCTATATAGTATTATAAATTAGAAGAACAATTGTATTCATTGTTGAAAACATTTTATAAATTAGAGAAAACGAAGAAAAAAATAAAGAGAGTCAAAAGGCTTGTGTATTTTTTTTATCAAAATTCAAAAACTCTATATTAATAGGAAAGAGTAAGAGTTGCAAGAGTACAATAGTTAACTAGGGTTGCAATATTGAGCGTGTTTGACGATCATTATTGTAGAAAAAAGACTTTCGAATAGTGATTTTTAGGGGAATGTGTAGTTAAAAAGTAGAGAAAATTTTTCGGTATGCTTATAGAATATTTTATTGTATGAATATATGGTTGAAAATAATCTTGTAGTAAATCATAAAATAAATTAATAGGTGTTGGGCGCATAGTGATCATTCATTGATTAATATTAATTTGCCACACATCCATATCTATAATATTCAGCCCTATTTGACTTTCATTATTTTAAAATTCATTTTTTCAAAATCAATTTTTAACTATAGAATCTAACAATAAAATATTTTGTATGTAAATCAATTTTTTTCTACTTTTTAAGCATAGATATTTTTAAAATTTATTATTATAAATCTCTTTTTGAGATTTAATTGTATGGTATTTATTGAGATTTGTGCTACTTCGAAATCACAACATAATATTTATCGAGAATTAAAACTTACAAATTTATGTTATTCGAGAGCAATAAAATAATATTTTTGAAAGATATTAAATTGTATAAAGTCATTCTTTAGGATGAAAATATTCTTCCATAATAATGATTTGTTTTAAAATGTCTTCTTCGAAAATAATAAAATAATATTTTTTTCTAGATATTGCAATATCTTAATTTGAGCTTTTTCAGGAGTGAGGATTAAATTATTTTGAAATAAAGATAATTGAAAATAATCCAATATTCTTATAGAATATTTATTTTTAATTTATACTCTTTCATGATTAATGGTAGGATAGTTTTTAAGAATATTAATATATAAATTATACTTCTTCAAAAGCAATAATATAACACTCAAATGAATATTAATCAATTAAGTCGTGCTATTCATAAGTAACGATACACATATTCTTCAGCTACATTAATTAATTAATTAAAGTAGTGATTCTTAAAAAAAATAAAATAAAAGAATAATATTATTCAAGAGTATTGATATTTAATAATTTATATTTTTCCTGGAGTAATAGAAAATAATTCAAATTAACAGATTTAAATAAAAACACTGTAGATTCAATATACATCCAATCTCATTAAATGGAATTATTAAAATATTTGTAAAAGTAAACTTGAGTTTTTAGGTTCGAAAAATTCACAAATTTTGTAGGGATTTCATATTTGACATATTTAAAAAACTTCAATTATGCAACTCAAAAATTTTGAATGAAAAAATATGTTGATATTCTATACAATATTATAAATTAGAAGAACAATCATATTGATTGTTGATAACATTTTATAAATTAGAGAGAGAGAAGACAAAAACAGAGAGAGTCAAAAGGCTTACATATTTTTTATTGAAATTCAAAAATTCTATATTAATAGGAAAGAGTAAGAGTTGCAAGAGTACAATAGTTAATTAGGGTTGCAATATTGAGCGTGTTTGACCATCATTATTGTAGAAAAAAGACTTTTCAATTGTGATTTTTAGGAAAATGTGTTGTTAAAAGTTTAAAAAAAAAATTGGAATAATTATAAAATATTTTATTGTGTGAATGTGCGGTTGAAATAATCATGTAGTAAATCATAAAATAAATTAATAGGTGTCAACAGACATACAGTGATCATTCATTAATTAATTAAATTTACAACACATCCATCTCTATAATATTCAGCTCCCGTTTGTTTCATTTTTGGAAAAATGAGAACGAAAAATATAACTGTTATGGATCCCACACAAGAGATAGAAATTCAAATTTGATGGTTTGATGTGATGGATAACGGTCATATTTTTCATTTTAGTGAGGAAATAATGAGAACCAAACAGGGGCTCAGCCTTGTTTGACTTCTATTGTTTTAAGATTCATTTTTTAAAAATTCATTTTTAACTATACATTCTAACAATAAAATATTTTGTACGTAAATCAAAATTTTCTACTTTTTAACCACATATATATATTTTTAAAAATTTACTATTATAAAACTCTTTTTGATGAAATAATAGGCATCAAATAGAGGGTTAATTAAGATTAATTTACCAGGATTGTTTGACTTCCATTATTTTAAAATTCATTTTCAATCATACATTCTAACAATAAAATATTTTGTACGTAAATCAAAAATTTTCTACTTCTTAACCACACATTTTTAAAAAATTCACTATTATAAAACTCTTTTTGATGAAATAATCGATGTCAAACTGAGGTTTAATTTATAACACCATATATCATTTTATACAATTTCAATATTACAGCTAAATAATTACATTATTGTAAATTTGAACTCCAACCTTCAATTTTTTATTTTTTGCAACTTTTAAAACTCTAGTGTGTGTTTTAGTTTACGTGAACTTTGAGGGACTAAAATAGAAATTTCCCAAAATTATTATACAGGGCGCAAACAGAAATTGAAGCGAATAGTAAAGGGGGAGAAGAAGCTGTATCCTGGACACAAACATTCATTAGGAAATTCCACTGTATTATTTGATTGATTTAACAAAGCCTTGATCTGCAGAGCTCGAATTTATACTAGATCCATTGGAACCCTCGGATTTTGGGTCGATTCGAACCAAAGTCCCGACCCCTTTTTGCACGGCATTTCTTGTCTGCAGAACCAGTTACTTAAGCTGTGTTGAATTTATTGATTTTTATATATCAGATCCATTGTTTAGTCACTAGCAATAGATTGGAAGTTCGAAAAAAATGCTGCGGTTAAGGGCGTTTCGTCCAACGAATGATAAGATCGTGAAGATTCAATTCCACCCGACGCACCCGTGGCTCGTTACAGCCGACGCATCGGATCATGTTTCCGTTTGGAATTGGGAACATCGCCAGGTCGTATTTTTTAGTTCGTTTTTATACTTTTTTGGGTTTTGATTTCATGGGTTTTGAATGGGTTGATTGGTTTTTGGATATGTTGGAAATTAGTTGGTTTTGTATTTTCAGAATGTTTGTTTGGTTATTGATCGATATTTTTTGTTTATAATGTGTTCTTTCAGGTGATTTATGAGTTGAAAGCTGGGGGTGTGGACGAGAGGCGTTTGGTTGGTGCCAAGTTAGAGAAGCTGGCTGAGGGCGAGTCAGGTGACTATTGCACTTTGCAAAATTACACATGCGTTGCTTGTTCAATTTGTATATCTATGTATGTTCACCTATTGAGACATCTACTATAGATAAGAATAATAAAAAATCTCAACTGAAGGGTTGTTAATGGATTCCTTCAGCCCTAGTGTTTTGTTTCATGTCCGATCTATCATTATGAATAGGGAAATCCATTTAGTGTAATTACTGGGGGGTAAAAATGAATGTCCTGTGGCACACATCCTGATTACTAGGGCACATCCAATGCTTGGAGATGCAACTTTGTGATGAGGTTTCTTCGAGAAGGGAATTTGGATGTGAGGGAGTGCCATAATTTTCTTGGGCATATGACAGTTCTAGAGTCTCTGACTGTTCATTTTGTGTTAGGAATCTGTTTACTTTGTGAGGGAAATCTTAGTGTGCTGTTTTTCACTCGAGTCTATTTTCCCAAGGCCATTTACTTTAAAAGCGCAATCTTTGTGGTAAATAATATATATATTTTTGGTACTGTCTGAATTGATTCTTTTTGGTAGTGAAGGCATTGCTAATATTATATCTGTTGTCCTTTTATTTTGTTTATAAGAGCTGAGAGGAAAACCCACTGAAGCTATACGGGGTGGGAGGTATAACTACATCCTTGCCTTTTGACATATTTGCAACCTTCATTGCTTCTTTTTGTTAAAGCTGAGACTGGTTTATGGCACATGGTTCTAGTGTTAAACAGGTTAGCTTTTATGATGATGACGTACGCTATTGGCAACTTTGGCGCAATCGTTCTGCTGCTGCTGAAGCTCCACCTGCTGTGAATAATGTCACCTCAGCTTTTAGTTCTCCTGCTCCATCAACAAAAGGACGCCATTTTCTGGTCATATGTTGCGAGAATAAAGCTATTTTTCTAGATTTGGTAACTATGCGTGGCCGTGATGTACCAAAGCAGGATCTGGACAATAGATCACTTTTATGGCAAGTCTTGAATCTATGTACCTTTTGAGTTAATTTTTATGCATTACGTATAAAAATTACTTTTCCCTGGTGCTTACTTGATGCATGTATTTCTGTTTGTATAAAAGGTCCAATGTTTATTAATTTCTCTGAAGACTGCTCAAAAACAATATTCTATTAAATTCTAGCTGCTTAAGTAGTGCTCCTTGCCATCTGACACCGTGATTCTTGCACTTGATAAAGATGGAGATTCCTTCTGCTGCTTGATCTTAGATTGGTGAATAGAGTTCTGCATACGAAGACAGAGTAGTTTACTTTGAAGAATTGATGACTAAATTGGATGACCTCGAGAGAACTGCCTCGTCCTATACGTTTCTTATACTATCCAAAAGTTTAAATGATATATTTACCACAACTCAGCTGTTTTCATTATTCAAACATATTGAATTTATCATATAAAAGATTGTGATGTTAGCTCTGGAATTGGCCTGAAGTGTTTAAATAACTTGGGCTTTAGAAATCTTGTTTTGTTGGTTTCTGGTTTGCCGCATCTAGAAGTGACATTATATATGATTTGTCTAGGGTGTTAAATGGAAATAGGTCCCCTTGGTGTTGGCCTAGATACAGGAGAAAACGAATTAAAATGGTCATTGTTTCTATGGCCCAACCTCCTAAAGGTCATTTGGGTTTGTTTTTAGGATATAGTTTGAAAATATCAATTGCATTTTCTTTGCTGTCAATTTTTTAAAAATTATGCCTGTTTAAGATGAAAAACTTATTTTAAATGCTTATAGCTTCCAAAGAAATTTCAAAGACTGTTTTCGTCTGGCTGTTGATGGAGATGAAAGCTTATGTACGAGTTTCTATCATAGTTTTTGACTTTGTGGCAATAAAACTATTATCATATTTTAATTACATCTCAAAGAAGGATCAACTGCCTTGACTAAGTATTTTTTTATATCTGCAGCATGGAGTTTCTATGCAGATCGGCTACTAGTGATGGTCCTCTCGTGGCATTTGGTGGATCGGATGGTGTGATTAGAGTTCTTTCAATGATAACTTGGAAGGTCTCTTATTTATATTATTTTGGTGTTCATTGTTTTACTATTCAAGTTGCATCTCAAATTCCAAGCAACAGAATTAAGGGAAAGCTTTCATTTTATGACTGCAGCTTGCTCGAAGGTACACAGGAGGTCATAAGGGATCAATTTCTTGTTTGATGACCTTCATGGCGTCTACTGGTGAGGTAGGTCTGACTTATACTATATTTCATAGTTTTGTATGTGAAAATGTGTTTGGCATGGTTATCAATTGCAAGCTGATATCTTTCTCATCTAGTTTTTTCGGAACCAGAAGTTTTATAATCTAACTGAAAATGATAATTAATGATTTTAAGTGAAGTTGTAATTTTGATAATAAATTAGTTGGTTCGTATGCATTTCACATGTGCACCTTCTGGTGGATGGTTAGGTGTTTGTTGAGAAAATGGGGAAACTTCCTTTGCCTTGTGTTTGGAAAGCAAAAACAGTTGATAACTGGCTGAGCGCTTGGTGTAGAAGTTAGGGGTGGTTGGTTTTAGGGAATTAAATGGTGTCATGTGGGGTTTTTTGTTTTAGCCCAATATCATTTACGATGTCTTACAAGGAGCATAGAATTTCTAGTGGGTGGCATTTCAAAGTGCCTGTAAGCACCTTACTTTGAAGATTAACTTGTTAATTGTTATTATAAATTTGGTCTTAGTTAACATAGGATTCGGTTTTTTTGTTTAATTTGCTGAGAGGCACTACTTAATTTCTTTTCCACCTCCTTGTGCTATTTCACATTGAGGCATCAGCCAGGAATGAGAGAAATGGATTAAGAGTCTATTTATTTGATTTTAGAACACATGATTGACAACTGAATGAAGCTTGAAAATTTTTATAACATAGATGAAGAGTCGATACACCATTCTCTGAGAACATCTTTCTCCAGAACTTTTTATTAAAGGCATGTTTGAGTCCCATTATGTCCCCATTAAAATGAAAAATATGACTGTTATCCGTCACATCAAGCCACCATATTTGACTTTTTATCTCTTGTGTAGGGCCTATAACGGATATATTTTTCATTCTCATTTTTTCAATAATGTGGCTCAAACGGGGGCTAAGAGAAGAATTTGTATCTTGCCAATGACGAGCATAAAGTATACACATGATACATGTCGTGTTAATTTAACCATATTTTGTAATGTTGATTCATTTCTAATTTGTGTTCTTCCTCATACTAGCTTTGCAGTTTGCTTGGCGACTTTATAGTTAGTAATCTGTAGGAAGCGATATATTTCTTAAAAGTTATTAATAATGTCATGAAAATCAAGGATTTAGCTTAGAAAATTGCAGTTGTTTTTCTTAAGATCTGTGATAAAGTCAAGGTTGTTATCACAACCTTGTTGGAGACTATTTAATTATTCTCGAGGTATGTAACATATCTGAAGGCCCCCTTATAATCCTTTTATTTGGCAAGAAATTGGATCACTTAGCAATAGAAATATACTGGTGCACTGAAGGTTGAGAATAATCTTTTCTTCTTCTTTTAATGTAGTAATCATCTACTTAATTTGGCAAAGATGACATTAAATATGTTGCAGAAAAGTGGTCGCTCTTACTCCAGCCCTGCACTCCCTTACCAGGGTATGGAAGGATGCTAAATCCTACACTCGTGGATGAAGAGAGTATGAATCGACTATGCTTAGAAGTTAGAATAGATTTATCTTGTCATGACTAATTACAGATAAGCAAACTTAGCCTAGTTTAGTGACCTATGCTATGATACTTTTTCTTCCCCCCAGTAGTACAGTCGTCTACCGAATTGCTTTTTATCGAACAAATTAACTTTTTCCGATATAACAAGTGCCTAAAATTCAGTTTTCTACTTGGATTACCATGAAACTTATAGAAGGAGATTAAACTACTATGAAAATGGATGTCCCTGCAAAGAAGCAATGGATTGACGCCACCCTCTTCTCGGGATATGATGTTTTCCATAAGTGTGTGTCAGCGCTCTCTGTTCCAAGAAAGTCAAATAAAACTTGTGTTAAGTATGGCACCAAATTGGAGAAATGGGAAATTGTTGGTTACAGAAATCTAAGGTGACCAATATATTGCTAATATTTTGAGTTTTGATAGTCAGCTCTATAATAATGGAAGTCCAGGCTGTAGAAAGTTCAGGATCAGAGCAAGATTCATATTTTTCATAATTCCATCAATTGCAGTAAATTTTTATTGAATTATTAATGGTTATAAAATCTCAATTGTGTACTGAATGTGGCTTGTATGAGCATGAGTACATTTGCTCAAATGCAAGTATATGATAATTCCACATTATCATTGTCTTTCTAGAGTACTTTTTGTGTGATTCTCGTTGCCTTTTCGGGTATTTTTTGTTTTCTTTTGTGAGTAGCATGCTATATGACATCCTTTGCATCTCGTTGAAATAGATGATGACAATAGAATGTAAGATAATCTCATATCTAGGATGATTAATTTTCTCCTCAATACAATGAAATCTCTATAACCCGAAACTGCAAATATATTTATGTGGCAAAGTAAAAATACATAATCAATTTCTTTGTTTTCTTTTTGTTTTTCAGTCTCTCATTCACCTGTCTTCTTTGAATTTGTCACAGGCACTCTTGGTTTCTGGTGGTAGCGATGGCTTGCTTGTACTTTGGAGTGCAGACCATGGTCAAGATTCTCGAGAACTTGTTCCTAAACTGAGCTTAAAAGTAACTATCTTCTTGTTTGTTCAGTATTTCTCCGTACACTTTATTTACTTCTTATGACATTTCTAAGCTCTTAGTATATGCTAAATTAAGAGCATTCTTCCTCCGCATTGTTCTGTTCATTTTGATGTTATATTTAATGGCCTTTTGCCCTTCCAATGATATTATAAGGCACATGATGGTGGGGTTGTTGCTGTCGAGCTTTCTCGAGTGGTTGGTACTGCACCCCAGCTTATTACAATTGGTGCAGACAAAACTTTAGCCATCTGGGACACAATTTCTTTCAAGGTTTCCGATTCATTCTGAATTAATATATTAAATCTATAATGAACCTCTGTTTTCTAACCTCTTTCTTCTCACTTTAGGAACTGCGCAAAATAAAACCTGTTTCCAAATTAGCTTGTCATAGTGTGGCATCTTGGTGCCACCCTCGAGCACCAAATCTTGACATCTTGACATGTGTTAAAGATTCTCATATATGGTATACATACTCTCTCTCCACGTGCAAGTTTTACGTAGTGTCCATCCACTTATTCTGATTTTTTTGTAAATGAGCAACGAGATACTTTGAGCTAAAGTATGCAAGTTTAGAACAAGAATGACGTAACTCAAGATCCATTTTGCATATTCTTGTTTGAGGGGAATGTGAATTTCTATTGAATCCTGTACAGGGCTATTGAGCATCCCACTTATTCAGCTCTTACGAGGCCATTATGTGAACTCTCGTCACTGGTCCCACCACAATTACTTGCATCTCACAAGAAGCTTAGGGTATGAAGATAATACTATCTATTTTTCATTGTTGAAATTCATCTACGGTGAGTGATTATTCTATGATAATTCATATTGGCTATATAGTTAATTTTCTTTGAATTTATATCTAGGTGTATTCCATGGTTGCACATTCTCTGCAACCCCATCTCGTTGCTACTGGAACCAACATTGGCATCCTTGTATGTGAATTTGATGGAAAATCACTTCCACCTGTAGCTCCACTGCCAACACCACCAGGAAGCCGAGAACACGCTGCTGTATATGTAGTTGAACGGGAATTGAAACTGCTACAGTTTCAATTGTCTAACACTGCTAACCCGGTTCTTGGAAGTAATGGCTCCTTGAATGATGCTGGAAGATTTCGGGGTGACACATCAGAACAACTCAATGTCAAGCAAATAAAAAAGCATATAAGTACTCCTGTCCCCCATGAGTCATACTCAGTCCTCTCTATGAGCAGTTCAGGGAAGTAAGTAGTATTGTGCTTCTGATCTACCAAGTATTGAGCATGATGATCAGAGATATTTTAGCTCAACATTATCATATGAGCCTTATAATGTTTTTAGGAATCTTAGCTATTGAAATCTCCTTTTTGTTGGGCTGTTTCAAGTTTCTTTGGCACTTTCATATTTGTAATTTTTGAAATTGATGATTGGACCATAAAAGTAATTTGATTGATTTTCTCTGTATTTGTTGCAGGTTCCTTGCCATTGTTTGGCCTGATATTCCGTACTTCTCAGTTTACAAGGTCAGTGATTGGTCTATTGTTGATTCAGGCAGTGCAAGGCTTTTGGCTTGGGACACTTGTAGGGACCGTTTTGCTCTGCTGGAATCTGCATTAACTCCCAGAATGCCAATAATCCCAAAAGGCAGCTCATCTAGAAGAGCAAAGGAAGCTGCAGCAGCTGCCGCACAAGCTGCTGCTGCTGCCGCTAGTGCAGCTTCATCTGCCAGTGTTCAAGTTCGTATCCTGCTTGATGATGGAACCTCAAATATATTAATGAGGTCAGTTGGTAGCCGCAATGAACCAGTTATTGGTTTGCATGGCGGAGCACTACTAGGTGTTGCTTATCGAACGTCACGAAGGATTAACCCTGTTGCAGCCACAGCTATTTCAACACAGTCTATGCCCTTGTCAGGATTTGGAAATAGCAGCCTTTCTTCTTTTAGCTCCATGGATGATGGATTTTCTTCACAAAAATCTTCAGCTGAAGTGGTACCTCAGAACTTCCAATTATACAGCTGGGAAACCTTTCAACCAGTGGGAGGTCTTCTGCCTCAACCAGAATGGACAGCATGGGACCAAACTGTTGAGTATTGTGCTTTTGGCTATCAGCAATATATTGTCATATCTTCCTTGCGCCCTCAGTTTCGGTACTTGGGAGATGTGGCAATTCCTTATGCTACTGGGGGTGTTTGGCACCGAAGGCAGTTATTTGTTGCTACACCGACCACCATTGAGTGTGTTTTTGTGGATGCTGGAATAGCACCTATTGACATTGAAACCAAAAAAAGAAAAGAACAGATGAAGCTTAAAGAGGCACAAGCGAGAGCAGTTGCAGAACATGGAGAATTAGCATTGATAGCAGTTGATGCCCAACAAACCACCTCACAAGAAAGGATATTATTGAGACCCCCCATGTTGCAGGTTGTCAGATTAGCTTCCTTTCAGCATGCTCCCTCCATACCTCCATTTTTATCATTGCCTAAACAATCAAAAGTTGATGGTGACGATTCATCAATACCAAAAGAGATAGAAGAAAGGAAAGTCAATGAGGTTGCTGTTGGTGGTGGTGGGGTTGCGGTGGCTGTTACTAGATTTCCAGCAGAGCAGAAACGACCTGTTGGACCACTTGTTGTTGCAGGGGTGAAAGATGGTGTTCTATGGCTAATTGATAGGTACATGTGTGCTCATGCAATATCACTCAGCCATCCTGGTATCCGTTGTCGGTGTCTTGCAGCCTATGGAGATGCTGTTAGTGCAGTAAAATGGGCAAGTAGGCTTGGTAGAGAGCATCATGATGATTTAGCACAATTTATGCTTGGTATGGGATATGCCAACGAAGCACTTCACTTGCCTGGCATATCCAAGAGATTGGAGTTTGACCTGGCAATGCAGAGTAATGATTTGAAAAGAGCCTATCAGTGCCTCCTAACAATGAGCAACAGCAGAGATATAGGACAAGAGGCTCTGGGGTTGGACTTGAATGACATTATGAATTTGTCTTCAAAGAAGGAAAATATTGTGGATGCTGTTCAAGGAGTAGTTAAATTTGCAAAGGAGTTTATGGATCTTATTGATGCTGCAGATGCTACTGGACAAGCTGACATTGCTCGCGAAGCTATTAAGAGGCTAGCTGCTGCAGGTTCAGTAAAAGGAGCTTTAAGAGGTCATGAGTTGAGAGGACTTGCTTTACGCTTTGCAAATCATGGGGAGTTGACAAGGCTTAGTGTACGTGTTCATGTTAAACTTTTTTAGTTTTCAGTCTGTTTTTTATAATGTCTTTGATTCGCACAAATAATTTAGACCTTTATATCTTGCTGCTAACTTTTTTGATGTGAAACTTGATTGTGGTAATCCATGTATGCAACACAATCGAATTGATCCTAATATGATTTTGGTCAGCTATGTAAATCCTATTCCATATTCAGCTCTATCTATATTGACTTCTGTCAAATTTCATTCTTCCATATCTTTAGTTACTTTTATTTCAATTAGGTCTTTAATGTTTCCATCCACTGTGATTTTTTTCTTCTTCATCAACACTATTAATGGTTTTCACTGGATACGGCAACACCTTAAACAATGATTATTGACGCTCTCACTTTCCTATCGCCCTTTAAGGTGTGCAGCCCAAAATATATCATTTTACATGTACACAATTTTGCCATTATTTTGGAGTAGATTGGTCTCAGTAGATGCTTTAGGTGAAAATAAATGAAGGTTTTGCCATCACAGTATGTCTTGATATTGCTACCCTATGAAACTTTTTCTTTAAATTCAGGATGTATTCAGCAAGTTTGGTTGATAGTTAATGTTCTGATATTTGCTGAATGAATCTATGTGCTCATGTATATATTGCTAGTTCTTTTGTAAAGTCAATTATGGATTCTTAAACAAATTGAAGGTATGTTTTGGGTTGATCTTAGATGATCTATGATCTCTCGCCAAGATCAGAAGGGGACTAAAAGCAAAAGGTGAAATTTATGATATGTTAATTGGTGCCTTGGTGACAAGTTTATGGCCCTTGCTATTGCAGTAAGGTTGTAGTTGAAAATGTCTCTCTTGAAGGAAGCGTTACAAGTATGCAACTAAGAGGCATTGAAGTATGAGTTGCAGTTAGGTGTTCACCGATTAGTATCCATATTATCTCGTGGCTGAATAAAAAAAGGGGGAAGGGAAGGGAAAAAACAGCAGCAAAAAGGGAAAATGAAAGGAAAAAAAATGAAAAAAAAAAAAAAAATGGTATAAGAACAAAGAAAGATATTTGCGCCAACTCTAAGACAAAGTAATCTCATTAGATGTTATTAATTTGTTACTTAAACAGATACTGGAATTTTCTGCATTTGAATTTGGTGCTGTTTGCATGATAATTGTATCTATGAAAAATATAATTAACTTATTTTTCTTTTCTTTTCTTTCTTTCTTTTTTTTTCTTTTTTTGACTTGTGACTATGCATGCATCTTTTGCAGAATATGGTGAACAATTTGATTTCAGTTGGTTCGGGACGGGAAGCTGCCTTTGCAGCTGCTCTGTTGGGAGACAATGCACTCATGGAGAAAGCATGGCAGGAGACTGGGATGCTTGCTGAGGCTGTGCTCCATGCTCATGTATGATTTGGTTTAACCTTATTTATATTGCTAAATAATAGCATACAGTCTGACCGGCCTCTTTTTCCTCAGGCTCATGGTCGACCTTCATTAAGGAACTTAGTTCAGGCATGGAACAAGATACTGCAGAAAGAGATGGAGCACACGCCATCCACCAAAATGGATGCTGCAGCTGCATTTTTGGCTTCCCTTGAGGAATCTAAGCTCACAAGCTTGCAAGATGCAGCAAAGAAGCCACCAATTGAGATTCTACCTCCTGGCATGGCGTCATTATATGGTCCGAATCCGGGTCAATCTAATCAGAAAAAACCTGGTCCTGCCATGCAGAATTCGCTGCAGCAACCGGGAAAACAGTTGCTTTTGGAAGGATCTACGACCACACTGCCAAATGCATCTACACCACCAGAGTCAGGTGCTGCACCCACTGCAGAGTCAGGTGCTGCACCCACTGCAGAGTCAGGTGCTGCACCCACTGCAGAGTCAGGTGCTGCACCCACTGCAGAGTCAGGTGCTGCACCCACTGCAGAGTCAGGTGCTGCACCCACTGCAGAGTCAGGTGCTGCACCCACTGCAGAGTCAGGTGCTGCACCCACTGCAGAGTCAGGTGCTGCACCCACTGCAGAGTCAGGTGCTCCACAGAATTCAGAATCAAGGACTCCACCTACACCAGAATCAGGAGCTCCACCTACATCTGAACCTGTTGCTTCGACTCAGGATTCAGTTGCTCCAGCACAATCTGAGCCAGATGCTTCAGTTACCCCCGTCCCAGAGTCAAGTTCTCCAGCTCCTGCTGATGTGAGTGATAAAACTTCAGAAAATCAGAACCAGACATCACCACCGAGTGTTTCAGAACCTAATGGAACTGAGGAAAGTGTCCCATCAGCATCCCAGAGTCCTCTGCCTGGACCAACGACTGCTCATGATGTCCCAAAGCAACCAGATAATCAAGCAACAGCTGTCCGTCCTGAACTCTCATTGATCGACTTCAGTTGACAAGCAAACCTTGACACTACAGTCATATCAGGTGTTTTACCGATGTTCTTTATATGGATATCTGAAACTTGTGCATTCTGTTCCTTTATCATACTAATGAAGCACTACAAATAAATATCGAGACGGGGGAGAGGAAGTTGCATTCTCATATCGCGAGAACCATTGCAACATCTTGACTTTTGATTACCGGAGTTGCTGTTGCACTCTGATGTAGATGGCCTTCACATTTTCCTGTCCTTGACTAGTTTGTGCACTGTTGTCCCTGTCATCTAAGGTGCATTCGTTCTATTTGTTTTAGATTTGTCATCAATTTTCTCACCTGTTTTTTGGTGTAGCATGTTTTTAAAGCATAGTTGACGAAATTGAAATTTATCTAAGATTTTGCGGTTGTACTGTAAGGAAACCGATCGAACTACCCTTTGTTGTGTCTGGTATTTCATAAAAAGTATGTACTTCTATTGTATTTGTTATTCCTACATGTCCGAAAGGTATTAAATGATTCCATTTAACTATAATGCATCTTGGGTTGACATGTAGCTGAGCATGCTTGGCTAAGCTTGAAAAGTTTAGTTGTGACTTGAAAGTTATATGAGTTTTAAAGTTTAATATTTATAATTGTATTTAACTTTTTCACTAAAAAGGGATAAAATTAAGCTTCAAACATAAACTGATAAAAGGAAACAAGAAGAGAATACGCATAAAAAAATGCTCTGACTCTGCACGTAGACACGTCTTTCTACCAAGTCATTAGCTACAAAGCCTAGGATTTTAATGTATAGTGGACGAAGAAGCCATTGAGTTCATGAATTTAACTCTTTTACCAGAAAGAGTTTAATTACTTGGTTGACCTATCCTCACGGCGCATGGGAGTCGTGTGGAATCCGCTTGAATTAAAAATGCCAAAAAATGCATCCCCTTCCCTCCCATGTGAGTGTGCTGTCAGGGACTCCTTGGCAACATAGTATGATTTTTGAGTTCATACGGTAAGACGTGCCGGCGATAGCTATAGGGTGATGAGTTGTGCTTGTATGGTATTATAAACTTCCGAAATGGGATTTATGGCATAGGAATGGGTATTAATTGTTGACGAAATTGGCTACAACAAATTTAAAAAAATAAAAATAATAAAAAATAATCATTTTCGTATATAATTACATAATTTATAAATTATAACGAGATGTAACAAGCCTTAGTGCTTACATAATGTGTAAATAAAAATGATATTTAATTAATTTATAATCTTAGAAAAAGTTTTGTTAAACATAAGTACCGGTAGACATATTTATAATTTATATCAAGATACGTGCACTTGATCGTCTATGAACATGTGGTTCACTTGACTCAAATTTGATGTTGCTCTAACACATAGTTGAATGTAATTTTGAAAAACCAAGAACCTAAATAGAATCGATCCAACTGATATTTATTTAAATTATTATTATTATTTATTATTTAATACGTATAAAAACGAAATAGAGATCTTGAGTTTGCCTAACAAATCTCCACTCAAAAATACAAAATACCTCTGCTTGAAACCATGGGATTATTCTATTAGATCTTTTTAATTGTGTTCACACACTAAAAGTGCAGCCCAAATCGAATAACCCAAGGAATGAATTCCAATTGGGGAATTCCCAAATCAAATAGCCCAAATAATGAAACCCAACAGGACAATTCAGGATAAAGGCTTATATAAGGTTATTAATGAATGCAGTGGAAGTCCATGAACACGGTAATATCATCGCCCAAACTTGCAAGACGCCCAAGATCTGAGCGAATGAAGTGTCTTACAGTCGCCCAGAGTTATGACCCTGTTCTCGCCCAAACCTTCGAATCGCCCAGGATCTTAGCAAACATAATATGTTATGGTTATCCAGAAGTGCAGTTATTAAAGCAGTTATTGAGTAACCTTATCACGTTCCACGATTCAAGGAGTTCAGTTGAAAACGGTTGAACAACAAAGAGTAGTGGCAGCAGTTAGAGACGGCAGTTTCACGACAAGTTAGCCACCATAAAGAAAGTGGGTAGTTATAAAGCAATCAAGCAGTTTCTAAGCGGTTGATCACGAAGAAATGGTTAAGGGAATATAAAAGGAAGAGAAGACAGAGAGTAAAAGGACCCCGAATCAAACACTCTCAAATAGAGAATATGTAATTTCAATTTTCTTAATTTGAACTTAAACATTTCTTTCAGTACTTGGGTGCTTGCGCCCCTTGGAAGCATTCTGTTTAGTTCAAATTGTAAAGTCATCGATAATAGAACACCCCTTTTTGGGACTTTGTCTCAAGAGGTTTGTTCCTTATACAATCGTCTTATCCCTTTTTAATTGTTAGCGACTACCCGTGAGAAACAATTTGGCACGCCCAATGGGACTTTGGTGTTGAAGATACAAAAGGTGAAACAATATGCCTCATAAATTTGATAAGGAAGCAAGTCAGGGAGGAGTCCAATCTGTGATCGAGTGATATGAGGAGCAGCATAGCTCTCCACGAACAAATGGACAGAGTCAGAACAGTCACAGTCGTTACGAGCCAATGACAGAGTTGAGTCCTCGAACCATGCGTGCATTACTTGGAGAACTCACACAGGATGTCGTTGAACAGGTAAATCTACGAAATATTCATAATATGGAAAGATTTACCCAAAATGAGAATGCATATTATGACAACATGGCCAAACAACTGAATACTTTGAACGAAATAATGAATAAGTTGGTAGGCCAAATTTGTCAGCCAACTGTGCCTCTTGCAAATCATTTTCAAACTAGGACAATTGTGGGGCATAATCCCCGAGTCTTAAGTCCAAATCAAGGGGTAGAACCACCTTTTGGTCCCTCTACTTCAAATCAGGGGGATGGTGTAATGCCAAATCAAAATAGTGGCAATGGTACATCTAACTTGGGGAGTAACCTAAACGTAAGAGACAATGTCCTAAATAATGGACAGAATGCCCCACGTGTTAATGATGGAATAAATATTCAGACTAATGGTAACAATGACCCAAATTATGGCAACTTTGTAGCCAACCAAGGACCAAATATTAGGCCTCAAGCAAATCAACCGGTCAACCAACCTGTAGGAATTCCATATGACCCCAATGTCATGTTGAGAAATTAGATTATGGAAATAGTACAGGACCAGATGGCTTTTGGGGTACGTCCTGTCATTAGGCCGACTTACACGAAGTCATATCCTGATTGGGTAGACCAAGCATATCCATGGCTTAGAGGGTATAAAGTACCAGAATTCTCATTATTTACCGGTTTAGGAGAGGTGTCTACTCTAAAACACATAGGGCGATTCACACTGCAAAGTGGTGACGTAACTGATTACCATAAAATGAAGTTGCTTCCTAGTTCATTAACAGGAGTAGCTTTTTCCTGGTTCATCAATTTGCCAGCAAACTATGTCCAAATATGGCAACAATTGGAGCAATTGTTCCACGCTCA